ACACCTCCAGGGGAGGAGATGAGGGTTTCCCAGGTCCCAGCTCTCCCACACACACAGGGGGGTGACACAGCCTGGGCTCCTGGCGGCCGTGGTTCTGGTCTGGGGCCTAAAAGGCACAGGGACCTGCTGGCGTCTCAGGAAGTCGAGGCCCCTATGGGCAGGTCTGCCCGCAGCAGATAGCCGATGGGGAGAGCCGCTCCCCTTAGAGCCGAAGCCAGGCTCTCCGGGAGCGCTCTGACCTGGGATCGCCTGTCGTGGGCCCTCCCCAGGAAACACGTGGGTTGGAAGCTGAGCCGGCTCTACTCTGCGGGGTGGTTGGCAGGACCCAGGGAGGGGGGAATGAGAGAGGGGGGTTCGGGCTGCCCAGCTGCCCCCAGCTGCCCAGACTGTCCTTGGTGCTGGCAGCCAGGAGAGCATCCCGGGCCTATGGCACGAGGGCCCTGAACTGGCAGCCTGATACCACAGGACCTCTCCAGAGGCCACAAGTCCAAGCCGAGGGTACGGGAGGGGCGGGGCTCCCTCGGAAGGCCCCGGGAGGGTCTTCCCGGCCCCCTCGGGCTTTCTGGGCTCACGGCTGCAGGGCTCCGGACAGCCTCTGTGTTTTCGTGGCTGTGTGTGCAAGCTCCCCTCTTCTTACCAGGACACCAGTCCGACTGGCTCGCGGGCCCACCCTAACCGAGGGCTGCCTCATCTTAACCAGATTCCATCTGCAAAAACCTGGCTTCCTAACTGGGTCACGCTCACAGGTTCCCAGCAGACACGGAATTTCATTCAACGCTGTTTAACCCCCAATATCCCCAAAGCTTGGTCTCTGCTTGACTTTCACTCCCCCCACCCCAGGTCACCCTCAGGACTGGCTGGCTACTTCAATCTGGGTCCCTCTGCGTTGGTCCCCTGAGGTTCTGGGGATGCTCTGGATGTAGAGCGTGGGCTCCCCATCCTGGGAAGGCACACCGCACCCCCAGCCTCCAGTTCCCACTCGTGGGGCAGGAAAACCCAGGAGCACCCACCACGTGGAGGGAGGCCTCGTGGAGGAGCTTTGGCTGGGCCAGGAGGGTTTCTCGGTGGAGGGGACACCAGAGCAGAGCCCCAGGGCCAGCAGGATCTACCGCCTACAGGCCACAGTGAGGGCAGAAGCCTGAGCTGCAGACTGCGACCAGGACAGAGAAAGGACCAGGGTGACTGGGCAGAGGGCAGCAGCCGAGAAGGGTGTGGATGCTGGGGCAGACGGGGACCTCGCGGCCAGCTCTGAGAGGACCGCTGGGAGAGGGGGGCTTCGGGGGAGAGGCGGTGGCCAGGATGGGGCATGGAGACAGGGCCGCCATCCCTCCCGGGCCAACTCCCCAGCTGTTCCTTGGCTGTGGGGCTCTTGGGGTGGCGGCTGGAGGCTGTGCCAGCCCAGGGCTTGAGCCCAGTGAGCTCTGGTGGGGCTCGGCCGTGGGCATCCGCGGTCCGTGGCGAGGCCATGCCGTGAGGAAGCTGCGGGCCTGGTTCCCGAACCGGTGAATGGGCCCCACACCCCCACCCTACCGCCCCATGGGTCCTGCCACATTTCCCAGGCAACCATTTCCACCCGGCCTGTCTGCCTGGCCCTCCGCACCCCCGCGAATGCTGCGGCCTGGCACAGCCCGGCTGGCAGTTGTGGCCCAGTGTCGCCCGCCAGCTAGACTCATCCAAAGGCCTGGCTCTGGGGAGGAGGCAGCCCAGCGTTCGAGGCTGTCCTCACCTGGTGAGCAGGCGCTGCTGGGCCACCCTGAGGGCCACACAGCCCGGGCGGTGGCAGTTCCGCCCCCCGCCGTGAGCACACACAGCACCTGTGGCCAGTGTCACCTAGAAGTTGGAAGGCCACCCTGCTATCCAGGGCTTCCCAGGTCACGCCTGCCAGCTTCACTCCCCGTCTGTCCATCCTCGCCATCTTGACCCCATCTGCACAGTGGCCTGATGGCTGACCCAGGCCCCCCTCAATTCCAAGGAGGGTACGGAGAAGCTAAATGGGGCTCAGGCCACTGCAGCTGGCTCCAGGCCAGGATCAGGCTAATGGCTCTGCCCTGGCTCAAGCCCTGTTGGGAAGTAGAGGCGGCCGGGGTGGGGGCACCTGCTGGGCTCCTGGGGCTAGCACTGGCCAAAGGAGCAAGCACCCCGTTCCCGCCTTGGCTCTGAGAGCACTGGGAGCCGAGACATTTGCTCTTTGGGTGGAAGGTGCTGGGCTGGGACAGGCCCCTGACCCGCTGGCCGTACACGTCCAGTCCTGGGACAGGCACCTGTGCGGGGAGGGGGTCTAGGTCATCACCCACAGATTCCTCCCGTCCCTGTGGACAAAGCCGGGGGAGCAGAGAGTGGGCTGCCCGGGGCTGCAGGGCGGGCATCCCCACCCTGGCCCCTGGATCACTTGCTGCTCTGCCCCATGGGGCCTGGCTGAAATGGTCGTTGCAAACAGGAATTTGGGCTCAGCCGCAGTCCCAATCCGAAGTTAATCTCCAGGGAAGCCCCCACTCAGCACCTGTCCCGGTGGCAGGCTCAGCCATTCCAGCCCGCTCAACTGGTCAGCCTCCAGCGTCTTGCCGGTGACGCGGGGACAGCTGCAGCAAGGTGGGTCTGTCCCGTCATCCACACTCTGCTCTGCTCCAGAAGGCCCCAGGGCGGGCAGGGGCGGTGAGCAGCTGGGGGGGGGGGCGGCGGCGCAGGCGGGACTTCCTGACGGCTCCCCCCAGCTCCGAGCTCCGTGGAAGCGCCCCAGGCCTTGGGTCCGGCCCTAACAGGGGAGCTAATCCCCAGCAGCTGGATGAAACCAGAGAGGAGAAGCCCCCCAGGAGGATAGCTTGTACGCAGGGCTCTGGCGCGGCTGCCCCCAGAAGACCAGGCCCTGAGGGCCTCTGTTCTGCCAGTGAGTGCAGGCCTGGCCTGGGGGTCCCAGCTTCGCCCTTGGCAAGGGCAAACGAGGACCCCCAGGCTGGCTCAGGGCAAGGAGCAGGGCGCCCCCACCCCCACCTCTGTGCCATAGGCTGCAGCCAGGATCCTTCAGGCCAGCCCTGACTTGGCGCACCTGCTTTTAGGCCCAGGCCCTCGTCTGTGGCCCATCTGAGACCCCTCTGTGCCAATGCCTTGCTCTGCCCTTCTCAGTCGGGTAGTGGGGCCGTGTGAGGCCTGTAGAGAAGGGGACGGGAAGGGGCAGGAGTGGCTGGGACTCTGAAGACCCCAGTGTACATCTCCAGGAGCCCCCGTTCAGGAGCAGTAGCTGCTCGCACCAATGTCCCCACGCGCCTTCCCAGCATGGCCGGGGAGCTGAGTGCACACTGACTCTCTGAGGCTCAGCTATGCCTTCCTCCCTCTGAGTGTCCCCGTGGGCACCCGGCTAAGGCTTTGAAGCTGCGGAAGCTGCAGCCAGGCCATGGGCCCATGTCTGGGAGCCGCTGACACAAGCTGTTTGGTGGTCCTGGGTCTGCCGGACACCCGCACCGAGCCCCACCCGGGAGCCCTCACATCTGGGGTGCCCTTTCCTGGGAGCAGGCCCGGCTGCAGGCTACCTCCTTCGGGGTCTCCCGGGACCACCCTGCGTGGTGACTGCTCATTTATGCATGTGGGGCCTGTTTCCGGTTGGTCAGGACCAAGGTCTCTGTCCCCTGGAGGCCTCCGGAATCTAGAACAATCCTTGACGTAGGGAGATATTCAGGGAGTGTTTGGTGAACGAGCCCGTCCCCATTGTGGAGGTCTGCACTGGCCACTGGATGCAGGGTGACCTCAGCACCACGGAGAACAATGCTGACTCAGGGATGGGGGGCCCTTGGACTGGAGTGTGCAGTGAGGGGGTGCCCAAGGCCTGGGACTGGAGGAGGGCAGGACGGTGGCTTGCGGAGGGGCGAAGGTGAGGAGGTTGGATCAGTGCTGTGGGAGCCCCTGAGGAAGAGGGTGCAGAGCCTCAAAGCTGCTGGGACTGGGGAGAGCCGAGGGGTCCCAGCACCGCCAAGGACATCTGCTTGTCTATGGAGGGGAGTCGCTGCCACCCAGCCCCCTGCACACGGCAGCCCTGGTGAGAGTGGGGGGTCACCCTGGGGCCCACCGGGCAGGGCTCTGCAGGAGCAGAAGCGGCCGAGAGTGCCCTGGGCATCTGCTGCCACCAAGTGGTGGATCGAGTGGTGGCTGGACCGAGCACCTGGGCCCTGGGTCTCCGGGAATCCCCTCCCAGGCCCTGAACCCGGAGGACCCCCGCCACCCAGCCCCTGGCCCAGGACGCCGGCCTTGGCGGGCCACACGGAACTCGGTGCCTCTCTTCTCCTTCTCTTAACTCCGAGAACCAAGTTCCTCCCGTTAGAGGGAAACACAACGGTCCTGAGATGGACAGGCCGAGCCCCCTTGGACGGAGCGGGAAACCGAAGCCGGGAGCTGTGCGGCGCCGCGGAGACCGCGGAGCCGCGGAGCAGGTGGGCTCCAGCTGAGGGGAGCAGCCGGGGCAGAAGGGGAAGGGGTCCCGCGACCCGACTCACGCCCAGCTCCTCCTCCCAAGACTCTGCGGACCCCAAGCCTCCAGACCACAGCAGGAGATGGGTCCCCCCCCACCCGCAAGTCTGTCTCAGCTGGAAGTCAGCCCCCCGGGGCCGCCCGGCCTTCCCCACCTCAGTCCCACCTCCGGTGCAGGAAGGAACGGCGGCCTCCGTCCCCTCCAAGGCGGAGGTCAGGACTCCTTCCCCTCCGACAGCGTCCCAAAGGGGAGGCCGCCTCAGGGCCCGAGGAGCGGGCTGCGCGGTGGGGTGGGGGTCCAGGGGCGGTGTCCAGCGCTGACAGGAGAGGGGGCGGGGCGCGCGGGGAGGGGGCGGGCCCAGGTCCACGGCGTTTTTCAGACGCGAGGTTGGCGCGGGGGGCGGGTCCCCGACGAGGGGCGGGGCGGGGGAAACAGGCTGTGCCGGGGGCGGGGTCCCTGGCGGGGGGGCGGGGTGGGGGGGGGGGGGGGGCCTGTGCCGGGGCGGGGTCTGCGGCGGGCCCCTCACTTCCGCCGGACGCGCGGGTAGGGGCGGATGGAGGCGGCGCGGAGGCCGCGGCCCGGGCTACGCCGCCGGAGGCCGTCCCCGGGGGCCGGGTGAGGCCGGAGGCCGGGGGGAGAGAGGGATGGGGTGGGGCTGGCCGGGGATGGGAGAGGAGGCCCGCGTCCCCCGGCCGCTCTGGGGCCCAGGCCCGCGCACCCACGTGTTTCCCGGAACCCCACTCGGTTCCGCGCCCGCCCGCCCCCTCGGGGTTGTCCCCCCCAAACCCCTCTCCCCCGCCGGGACCCCCGCTGACTGCTCCCCGCACCCCCAGCGGCCGCGGGGCGCCCCTCCCGGGGGACGGCGGCGAGTGCGCGCGGCCGTGGGCGGAGCTGCTGCGCGCCGCGAGCGCGGATCTGAGCCCCGACGGAGAGCTGCCGCCGCTGCCCGCCTTCCCCGGCCCGGTGCGTGGCGGGGGCCCCCGGGGCGGCCGGGCGTGGAAGGGGGCGGGGCCCTGCCCGGGGCGGTGCCGGTGACGCGGCCCGACGACCCGGTTCGGCAGGAGCCCGGCGGCGGCCCGGAGCGCAGCGCGCCCCCCGAGGTGTTCACCGTGGGAGCCCGCACCTTTTCCTGGACGCCCTTCCCGCCGGCCCCGAGGGGAGACGGGGGCCCAGGACGATCCTACCGCGTGCTCCTTGGGGCCCGGGGACGCTCGGGGTCCCCGGCCCGGTCCCCGCAGCGACGCCCCGAACCGGAGCCCCGCGGGACCCCTGGAGCCCGGGAGCAGCTGTGGGAGGCCGCGCCGACCCTGCGGAGCTGCCCCATGTGCCAGGCCAACTTCTCCCCCGGGTGAGTGCGCCCGGACCTCGGTTCCCTCCTCTGACCGCAACCCCGTACTTGGCCTGCGGAGCCGGCGGAGCGCAGCCACTGACCCCGTTCGCCAGACGACGCGGGTGTACGGGTCTGCCGGTCCCCCTCTCGCACGTCCCTTGGAGCCCCGGGGCCAGGCTGCAGTCTCCCCGGAGCCGGCTCTGCAGCAGGGGTGCAGGGAGCCCCACCTCTGAGTCTCAGGGACCCTGGTGGTGGCGGCCATCCCCAGGCGAGGCCGCCTCCAGGGCCCCTCTGGGGCTTCAGGTCACCAAGCAGTTTCCTGTGTAAAGCGTCCCACCTGAATTTTCATAGGGGATGGGTTTTAAAAATGGGGACTTTGTGTGTCTGGAGATGCTGTTTTACCTCAAGAACTCATTGTATGTCTTTATATTCTTTTTTTTTTTAAAGATGTATTTATTTTACAGAGAGAGGGAGTGCACACGATTGGGGAGGGGGGCAGAGGGAGAGGGACAGAGGGAGAGGGACCAGACAGGCTCCCTGCTGAGCGTGGAGCCCGATCATGACCTGAGCCAAAGCCAAGAGTCAGGCTCTTGACTGACTGAGCAGCCCAGGAGTCCCTCTTCATATCTTTTTTTAAGTGAGGGGAGTGGAGTCAGTGTTGCTGAGCTGTTAAACCCAGAGTGCCCAGCTCGTGGGCTACGTGTCACACAGCTAGGGACGCCGGTGTGGGGGTCACGGGTGCGGGTATAGCGAGCGGACAGCAGTTTTTGGTAAGTGGGCCAGTTGCAAATGTCCTGTGGCTGGGAGGTGGCGTGCAGGTCACAGGCCACCTCCCTGGTTGTCCGGAAGCAAACACCATCCCGGATGGGGAGGGCGACCCAGCGGATGGCAAAGCAGACACCGTCAAAGCCGTGGCCTGGGTAAGCGCACAACGTGCTCGTGCAGGTCTTTAGGTGCTGCTTTTACCGGAGACGCGGCGTCCAGTTCTGGTTGCGTGTCGGCTCCCCCAGCCTGCGCTGCTGTTACCGGAGCCGGCTTTGAAAGCCCGGTGTTGGGGTGAGCCCAGTACCCCCATGCTTTTCTCCTTGTGCCCCGCAGCCCAGGGTTGGGGAGGCGGGAGCGGGCTGGTTTGGGCGAGACAGTGGCTGTCCTGGACGGGGACAGCGTGTGGGTAAGCCCCAGCAGGCGGAGCCACAGGCCGGGCCTGGAGGACGTGGCTCAGTGGCCCCTGGGAGCACCAGGATATTTTCAAAACGTTTGCAGACCCAGCGCCTCCCTGCACTGCCCCCTGCGCGTACTTGTGTTTTGGGATGGGTGTGAACCGCGAGTCCCGCTGGCCAGTTCTGAGAATGCCGAGAACGCTCTTTAAAAGTAGTGGCCTTTCTGCCTCACCGCTAGTCCACGAATCCCGGGGCCAGAGGATGCCACAGCAGGCTCTAGAGGGAAGTTTGTTTTCCTGGCAGAAGCTCTCAGGGTGCCCCCTTTTCCTCCTCTTCTGGATGGGCTTGTGCTGGGAATGCTGGCTTTTCTGCCCAGTGCAAGAAAAGACTCCGGACGACAGAGACATCAGAGAGAAAAAAGCTCCCGTTTTGAGTTTTATAAGCAGTTCAGTTAGGGCTTGGCAGACTGCCTCATTGTTTTCCGAAGTAGGTGTTGGTGCCGTGGGGTCCAGGCTGCGGCGTGTCTGGATCCACATGTAGCACATTCTTCCATGTGGCTGCACGGGGTTGGGTGCTGGGGCCGCACACCCCTCAGGTCCTCGCAGTGACTGGGGAGACGGGGGGGACACGGGTCATTGCAGACAAAGGTTGGCCCTTGGTGGGATGCTCGGGACCCTGGGGCAAGGAGACTGCCTGGGCTCCGGGCGGGTCTCACGTAGCAGGTGCGCAGGGTAACTAAGCTGTTCTACCAGCCTGTGACTTTCCCTAGAAAAGCGTCAGCTTTTAGTGATTCTTAGGACTTTTTTGATATACATTATCCCTTATTTTACAAGTTTTATTTTTACAATATTTATTTACTAGAGACAGCGAGAGAGGGAACACAAGCGGGGGCAGTGGGAGAGGGAGAAGCAGGGTCCCACTGAGTAGGGAGCCTAACTTGGGGCTCAGTCCCAGGACCCTGGGATCATGACCTGACCCGAAGGTAGATGCTTAAACTGATGAAGCGCCCCTCAAAAAATGTTTTTAAGTAAACTCTACACCCAAGCTGGGCCCTGAACTCATGACCCCGGGGTCCAGAGTCACATGCTCTATGACTGAGCCAGCCGGGCGCCCCACGTGGGACACATGGGAGACCGAAGCAGTGCTCAGCCCTTCTGACGGGCCGTGGGGGCGACTGGTGACCTGATGGCTTCTGGTGGCATGTGTGCTTTGGGGACACGGTGCTGTGGGACGCGCCCACCGTTATCCTCAAGGCAGTGTTTTCAGGTCACTCAGAGGTCGGTTTTATTCTGCAGTGTGACGAGCGGTTACACAGTGGATACGCCGGGCTGTGAGACCCCGCGCCCTGGAGAGCTGCTTGCTGCTGCGGTCACGGCTTCTGTGGGCTCCCTGATGCCTGCAAGCCACAGGGGCGGTTGGGGAGACAGACCCCCACGGGCCACTTGACGTGGGGCTGGGGAAGCCGGAAGCTGAGTCTCGTCCCATGTGTGCGAGGAGAGCCTGGCATCGTACGGTGCCGAGCCCCCGCGGGCCGCCGTCCGGTCCCGTCGGGAGAGGCTCTCGGGCCGGTCTCCCGTCCTGCAGCCGCGCCGGCTGTCCGCACACCAGGCTTCCGTGCCACGGTGAGGCGGGCCCGTCTCGGGGCAAGCTGTGGTGGGAGGCCGCCAAGACCAAGTTCTCTTAGTAGGGGGAGGTCTGGAGGGTCCCAGAGGGCACCCCCCCCCCCCCCACCGAGAGGTGCCACCTGGAAACTGCAGACGAGATGACCTGTTCACCCCTTAGACTCTTGCGGCAGCCTCGAGGGGGCACGCAGCGGCCCAGCTGCTCGGGAGCACGCGGACCAACCTTAGATTCTGAAAGGGCAGCTAGTGGCCACCAGAAGGGGCACAGGCGCCCAGAGCAGTGGGGGGAGAGGCCGTGGCGTGGCCCACGCTGTCTGCAGTGATGCTCCAGGGACAGGCCCTTCCAGTCTGGCCAGTGAGCGTGGCCAGCTGACCAGGATGGCTCTAGACGGGCAGAGGAAAGGTCACGTCTGCGGGTAGGGAGACGCCGTCTGGGCAGACCACCTGCGAGGTCACGGCGCAGAGGCGTCCCAGAGGGTCCCGTGGGACCCACAGCGACAGAGGGGGTGTCTGCTCTGCCAGCTGCAGAGACCCAGGGTGCCCACCTGGGAAGAGCCGCGGGGGCAGGACTGGCGTCCACTCTGTAGGGTGCAGGTGGGGCCCCGGCCACCATGACACGTGCTCGGTCTGGGGCAGAGGCTGTGGGGGATGTTTAAGTCCCAGTGCGAGGTGGGTCGTCATCCATGCTGCCGAACCCGGGGAGGTACAGGGAGGCTGGGCCTGTCGGGAGCATCGGGGTAGCAGGAGGCCAAGGGGCTGAGGCAGGCCAGCTGCTGGGTGGACACAAGGAGCATTGCTGGTCACCGCCGGTGGGCTCGGCCTCTCTGTGGAGGTGTCCCCCAGCAGTCCTGCTGAGCACCCGAGCTCTGCCACTCGGGGGCACAGACAAAAGCTGCCCATCCACGGTTCTCAAGCACACCGGAGACAGTCCTGCCTGCCCGCCCTCCTCCATGGGGTCAGATGAGACCAGGGATGGAAAGTGCTCTGTGCCACGAATCTAGACCCTGCCCCACACCCCACTGGACACCGAGAGGCCTCAGTGCCCGCAGAGTTGTAGGATGGCAGCCCAGGTTCACTGAACCCCATCTCTGAGGGGGCTTGGTCTCCCCACGTCAAGAAAACACAATCTCAGACCTGAGCTGCATGCCCCCCTTCCCCCCACTTCTTGTCCCTACCTCTCGGGATGGACCTGGTCATGTTCCTGGGGCCCCAGTCTTCGTGCTTTTCCTTTTTGGGGTGCCAAGTGGGGTGGGTTTTATAGGTAAGGACATGACCCTCTTACAGAGCCCCAGCCGTGGGCAGGCTGGGGACTGAGAAAGGGCCACCCTCGACTGTGAGGCCTGGTCAGGGAGCCACCAGGTGGGCTTTTGGGCTCCAGGACAAGCAGCTTGCTGGGAGCCGTGAGGTTGTCAAGCCAAGTGGGCTCCCGAAGGCCCTAGGAGGCCCAAGCAGACACAGGGCACCCCTCCCCCGCCAGCCTCAGATGTGGGCACCTGGGTGAGCCTTGAGAATGTGTCCCCTGATGGGGACATTTGACCTGTTCTGGATCGTGTGGCCGCCCCTGGACCTCCCCCGTCCCCCGTTTCTGACTGGCTATGGAGACTGTCATGGGGTTCTCTCCGGCTGACCTTTGGTGTGGTGGTTACACCAGGGGAGGGCAGGAGCCCGTGGCGGGTGCCCTGGTGAGGCGGCGTGTGGCCAGCCGTTCCCTGTGTGTGGATGACCGACTCCTCCCTCTCGCAGTCTGGACGTCGATCGCCACCTTGCTCAGTGCTTGGCGGAAAGTGCAGAAGACGTGGTGTGGTGAGCCGACGTTCCCGCCAGCCCAGCCCGTGCAGAGGCCCCGGCCCTCGGCCAGAACCATGTCCTCCGCCTTGAAAGCCGCGTATTAAAAGTGTAGACTTGGGGCGCCTGGGTGGCTCAGTGGCTTGAGCCTCTGCCTTCGGCTCAGGTCATGGTCTCAGGGTCCTGGGATCGAGCCCCGCATCGGGCTCTCTGCTCCGCGGGGAGCCTGCTTCCCCCTCTCTCTCTGCCTGCCTCTCTGCCTGCTTGTGATCTCTGTCTGTCAAATAAATAAAGTCTTAAAAAAAACAAAGTGTGGACTCCTGGCGTGTGTGTGTCGGGACTGACACACGGGCTCCTTTCTGTTTCTGGCCTCGCCAAGCAGTGTGCTCTTCTGCCGTCAGAAGCGGACAGAGGTGCGTGGCGGACGGACCCCAGCCCCGGGAGGAGGAGCCCAGTCTGCTGAGCGGAACAGGCGGCCCCTGCAGACAGCTGGACGGCGGGTCGCACGTCCTCCCGCCTCCGCACACCCCACTCGCCCGCGCTTCACCTCCCCGGATGAACCGCTCATTCCGCGGTGCTGGCCGCCTGGGCCCAAGACCCCTCACCACTGGGCAGGCGGGGACTTAGGGGAGAGTCCAGGCCAGCATGCCGGAACATTACGCACCGGCCAGGGGGTGGTTGTGCTTCCAGGGCAAGTGGAGGACGGGGCACGAGAGCGTCTGGAGGTAATTTTCCTTGCCGTGCGACAGCCCGCAGACTGCGGGAGAGCTGGGCTTGCATGGCCTCCACGGTGGCTGCAGAGCGGTGGCGGTAGGGGGCAGGTCAGCGGTGGAGCAGAGACCGTGGAGGAAACTGCGTGTGACCGAGGGCAAGGTGCCAGTCTGCAGACCGCATGCTGCGTGACCCCTGCCGTAGGGGCTTCTGGAAGAAGCACAGCCGGAGACAGGAGACAGTGGTCACCAGAGGGCAGTGGTCACCAGAGGGCAGGTATGTGGGATGTCCAGGCAGCGAGGCTCCGCTGTGCGGTCTGCACTACGGACACATGTCCTCTTGCCCAGACCCGCACTGCGCCCCCAAGACGTGAACCCGGCACCCTGGGGATGAGGATGGGTCTGTGTGGTCCATCACACGTGGCCCCTAGGAGGGGAGGGTGGCAGTGGGGCAGGGGAATGTGGGAAATCCCTGCAGATGCCCCGCAATTTTGATGCGAAGCTGAAACGCTAAAGTCAGGTTTTTTGTTTGTTTGTTTTGTTTTGTTTTTATTTGACAGACAGAGATCACAAGTAGGCAGAGAGGCAGGCAGAGAGAGAGGGGGAAGCAGGCTCCCCACTGAGCAGAAAGCCCAATGCGGGGCTCGATCCCAGGACCCTGAGATCATGACCTGAGCCGAAGGCAGAGGCTTCAACCCACTGAGCCACCCAGGCGCCCCAAAACACCTACTTTTATAAGAAATAATAGTGTGCGCGTTCCCTGGTCTTCAGTAGACGTAGTAGCAGACATGAACTCTGGCTGTGGAAGGAAGACCGCTGGTGGCAGGTGTGCCCACAGGCCGCCACGGCCACGGCCACAGCCACGGCATCTCTGTCCGCGGATCATCCCGACCCCCTGGGCCACTTGAGAGTGTTGGGGCCGCTGCTCCCACCCCCCTGTGGTGCTGCCTTCACCTCCTTATACAGCAGGCAGCTGCGAGCATCCCCCCCCCCCCCGCACATGTCTGCGCAGGAGCCGCTGGTTGGTTCCATCGCTGTAGATCTGGGGCTCCCTTCTACTCGGACAGACGCTGGCATGGTGCCCAGTGTAGCAAAATGACCCCACCAGTAGCAAGGGGGGCTCGCAGCTCTCTCTCCCGCACACACGGTGGGCTCTCCCTCCCCATGTGACCCCACCTGTTCCAGGGCTCTGCTCCCCAGTCCCGACTGACCGCCCGTGAGCCTCGTGAAACCCAGAAGTTGGCTCTCGGGATCTGCTCTGGGATCCCTCATTTTGGTCTTTGGAGACAAGTTTTCTTGGTTGTAGTTGACGTGCTGGGTGAGACACGTCTCCGTCTTGTAGGAAGGCCACCCTGCAACGGAGGGCGGGGGGGGGATGTCCAGAGACCTCGGGCGGCCTGGGGTCGGGGGTCCCGCAGGTGCCCACGCAGTGTCCCGACCTAAGTATGAGAGTCGGCTCCTTGCCGGACTCAGGGAAGGACAGGGGCGGTGCCATACACGCACCCCTTCATTTCCACCTTCCGTACCACAGCCTCCTGCCCCAAACCACCAGCCACATGGCAGAGACTGCTGGGAGGGTGTGCGGGGACGCGAGGTCCTGAGGGCGGTCGAGGAGCCCTCCCACGCTGCCCTCGCCTCCAGCCACACTTCCTGGGGTAGAGACTTTGAGAGCCCCTGGGGCGTTCTCTCCTTCAGAACCCCTTCCGTAAGGCGTTCACCCGAGCAGGGTGGCGGAGGGACACGTGCATCCTGTGCAGGCGACTGGCCGCGGGAAGCACGGCGTCAGGGATGTGCAGGACGTCCGTGGGTCTCCAGATGCACTACTAAGGCTGGGCACTCACACATGGACCTTCTTACATTTTTCTAACTCTGAGTATCGTTATTACCGACAAAAATACTGTGTCAAAGATTCGATACAAGAGGTCACATAGGCACTGCTTAGCGTTTGCAGAAATATTTTGTGCAGATTTCGTTTTCCATTTCCTCCCTTGTTTTGGTGTCCGGGGGCTTCGGTGAGCAGCGCTAGAATCCGGGGTCCGGTCTCGCCGCCTGCCCACGAGCGCCCTGACGACGGAGACGCGCGCGTGTGACCTACGTGTTAACGACACAAACTTACCGGGACTTGGCAAACCTCGCAGATTTGTAAATTCTTCACTGCGGTGCCCCCCCAGCAATCGGGCTCCCGTCCCCAGTCCCCGCCCGCTCCAGCGCCTCCCACGTGGGTGTCGCCCGCAAGGCGGGGCAGGTGCCGACACAGAAAAAAGGCACCGGGAGGCTGCGACATCATGGGCACATTTTATTCCTCAGGACATCACAGGCTGACTCCTGGCGGAGCAGGTCAGTTCTGTTTCCGTGGAAAGTGTGCGCTTTCAGAATCGTGGGGCAGTTTCTCCTTTGGACGCGGTCACCGCGGCTCCTCCGCGGCCCAGGCACAAGAAGCAAATTCCTCCAGCTCAAGGCCGGCCGCGCAGGCCCAGACGCAAGACTGTTCCGCTCCGGGGGGGCCGGCTGGACGCCCCGTCCGCGGTCTCTGCGGCAAGTGTCCCTCCCTGGCTGCGCCTGGAGCCTCGCGCCCAGCCTGGCATGCATGCGCTGTGGTTAAGGATAGAGTGAAGGGGTCATTCACAGACGTGTCCGTGGCAGAGAAGACGGCCTCACACGGACTCCTCGGTGGACAGCAGTAACGGGTTGATGTACTCAAAACCTTCAAACTCCGACTGGTCGATCCTCTTGATGACGTCCCTGTGTGGACAGGCAGGGCACGGGGATGGGTGTCGGGCCCTGCCCCCAGGCCCACCACCGACCCCGACAGGGCTGACAGCGGGCAGGGAGCCCTGACCCCGTGGCCGCCCCCCGCGGGCCTTACTCGTCGTCCGGGGTCAGCTGCACGGGCTCGCTGGTGAACTGGGTGTCGAAGTTGTCCAGACCATACTCGTCGGTTATCTGGGGCTGGAATGGCGGGAGGGCCTGCTTCTTCTCCAGCTGGGAAGAACAATGCAAGAAGTCAGGTCGATGCTGTCTGTCATCTCTGTGGGATCGGGGTCTTTGCGGGGACTTAAATCACAGAAAGGAACAGGAAGACACAGTGTTTCACTAGGTGTTCGAAGGCCAGTTTTCGTTTCCCTTAAACACGAGTCTAGGAAAAAGTATCTGAAGCCAGAAAAATCCTGAGTTTAGAAATGCTGGTTGGACAAGGCCACGCTGGAGGTCTGCACGCCCACGGCCTGGGCCCTGAAACCGAGCGGGGCTGGGCTTGGGAGTGTTTTCTGTCCTCCATCTTGGAAGCCTGGTCACAAGGGAGCTCGGACTTGGTGGGGCCACCGCCACCCACACCTGTCGTGCTGCGACCTTCTTGCCTGAAGAGCCGTGAAGGACTCGCTCTGTTTCTAATTAGAAGGGGACGCTCGACAGGCAGGAGACGGTGCTCCTCAGGATCCGGACCAGCTCCCCACTCACCTCTTACGGGCCTGAGACATGCGCCGCGAGGTGGAGACGGGGTGCCCACTCGCTCAGCCCCTCCGGCACACACACAAGCTCCCCCCACCCCGAGGTGTGCGCTGTGCACCTGCGTTGGGCCACGCACGTCCCCAGGCACTAACACGGAGCCGTGAGCGAGAGACACAGGTGCCTGCCCCGTGGAGCCATTGTGTTGGGTCCCCTCCCTGCCGCGCAGCCCCGCGTGAAGCTGGGGGCAGGGGGGCGAGAGGAAGCACGAGGCAGATGGCACAGCCCCACTGGGCCCTCGGTAGGGCTGAGCCTGGAAATGCCCGCCATATGGGGCTCCACACGTGCCCGTACGGGCCATGGAACCAGGCAAGGCCGACGCGACGAGCTGTTCAGGAGCAGCAACGGTGCCCAAGCAGGTGTGGGGAGCGAGCGGCACGGGCCCGCATCGTTGGGTGGAGGATGCGGGGGTGTCCCAGACTCGGGCGAGTCCTGGCCGCCGGCTGCCCCAGGGCACGTGGCAGAGGACGGGCCGCCCCTGCAGGCAGAGCGGGCAGCTTGTGTGTGGGGCCCGAGGCCCCGTCCTTGCTATTTCTCACCTTTTCTACGTGACTCGCCACGTTCCTTTCTACGAAACTTTTCTGACGGGGGCTGGGGGGCATGTTTCTCAGGCCGCTTCTCCACCCTGGGTCTCGCTGCGCTCGGATGTCAGCAGCAGCTCCCAGCGGACCCAAGCAGCGAGCAGAGCTGCGTCTGAGGCAAGCAGCTCCCCGGGGCCCCCCACGCCCACCACTCGCCCTGGGGCCCCGTCCTCCAGTCCGCCCGGCCTCCCTCCGAGTGCATCTCACAAGCGCTACCCCCTTTCCTCAGTCAGAAGCACCGGACGCCACCGGGGGACAGGCCACCGCGGGGGTGTGCCGTGTGAGTGGAAAGGACCCTGGCAGGGGCGCTCTGTGGCAGCCGGGCAGACTCCAGTTCTG